GCAGCCCGAGTTCCTGAGGGGGAACGTCTCCAGGTTACGAATGTAACCATGGTTCCCGAGGGAACGAGACGCTGCGTCTCAGTGCCATACTTCCGGCATCCCTGTGAGCGCTTGCTTCATTCCTTGAAGTTGACGCCGGTTCCTCCACACGTGCTTTTTTAGCTTCCTGGTCGCAGCGTCACCCGCCCATGATGTCTCGCCCATCTATTGGACTGATTTAATATGTGATTCAGAGCATGGTCACGCTGGAGCAGTTCCCAAAGCGTTTTCTGACGCAGCGTCTCGCTCCCTCGGGGAGCCATGGTTACATTCGTAACCTGGAGACGTTATCCAGGTAGGACACTAGCTAGAGTATCATCATCGAACGAACAAGATGGAGAGAACCGAAGCGGCCGTTTGTTTGCTCCTTTTGGTGAAAGATGAGGCAGCGAAGCCAAGATGCGAAGATGGAGGCTCAGCGGCGTTTACGCCGAAAGCTTATGTTGGCTGCAAGGTGAAAGAGAGCGATACAGCGACGTGCAAGACGATTACAACTAAAGCAGAAACAACAACACTGGATGGAAATGGTAAATGTTGTTAAATTAAATAATATAGTTAATTGTTGTTTGCTTATATTCGGTGTGATTCTAACCTCATAACATATAGTCTCATTACATATAAGTAACATACAGAGTTGTTTTGATTAGCGTTCTGTAACATAAGCGTAGGCTTATGTTAAAAATCTTACTGTTCAAAAACTTTTGATTGGTAGTGTATGTTTAAACATAAACAATTATAAACAATTATGTTCATATATAGATATTTAACATGACTAGGGAAGTAATGTTGACCCTTTATTCTATTATAATTTTTCAAATTATGCATCTATTTATACATACAGTGGAAATGCGACTGGCCCTGGCACGCACTAGCACGCCCGCTTTTGGACCGACAGTGGAAACGCGGCTATTGAAAATCTGTGAAATGACTTGAAGACTGCAGTTCACAAATGGTCACCATCAAATTTAACTGAACATGAGCAGTTCTTCAAAGAAGAGTTGGCAAATATCGCAAAGTCTATGTGCAAAGTTAGCAGAGACAGAGACAAATCCCAACAGACTAAAGGCTAAAGGTGGTTAAAAAAAATAAAAAAACTCAGTGATTGACTGTTTATTTATTTTTATTTTTTTCTGAAGTGTTGGTGTTATATCTTTCATTTGGATGTTATAAGTTGCATTGAGTAAATACAGCTGAATAAAACAAAAACTGTGTCCGTCATCTTTAAGGCTGCAACAAAATGTGATTATTTTAAAAGCGGTTGATTCTTTTCTATACCCACCGTGTATACATGCCTACGTCCTGCTCAACAAAAAGCTGCCACATTTCTAGGCTAAAACTGTCATAGTGTTCAACATATCTCATGTATGACAGAGTAGCTCGTAATGAGTTCCTAAATTCAAGTCGATTTGAAAGCCCAATATTTTTTCTCCATATTGATATTTATCACAATATTTATTTTCCATTAATGGGGAAGGAAATGTTTTCCACATGTTTTTAGACCTTGAGAATGAATGTAAAGATAATTTGTTTCTCCACAATTAAACTCCACAGAGCTTTTAATTTAGGGCCCCATGAAATCTGTTTTATTTTCCCCTAAATTCTGTTTTCAATTGTATTTTTTTTATTTTCTGTTTTATGATTCAATACAAATTTATCATTTAAAAATGGTCTCTAAGTAAATTGAATTAGTAAAACTTTAACAGTTGAATGGATCTTTTAAAATGCAGTGGTAAGAAAACAATTAATGTATAAAAAAACTTTGCATTTTAATTTTTTTTGTCAAATAAAATGCTGGACAACAGCACAACTGTGTAAATTAATGGGAAAAAATGCTTTGGTTGTATTATATTCCTTAAAATGATGATGATTTTTGTGATTTCCATTTTAGTATACAAGTATTATATTTATAAGTTAAACAATAATTTTATTTTGATGTGTTATTGTGAATGTCTTTCAGAGTGTATTTGATGGTAATTTTTCTCAAATGAAACGGTGAAGAGCTTGTGAAGTAACTCTTAGAGTAGCTCTGGAGATGAAGTTCATGCGTTCATGTTCTCATATATTGAGATGCAGACCCTGAAATCACAGTGAGCGTCACTTGTGTATCAGACGAAACCACACATTCATTTACATAGAGACACGTACGCAGAACATGCAGACTTAGCCTATTAACGACAAGCACTGACTGTTGAATTTATTTCTGCTGTTAAACTATCTATCTATCTATCTATCTATATATATATATATATATATATACATTATCTCTGCTTGCACTGCGTCAGTCCCGCTTGTCAGGAAAGTGAGTGAGAACACAGTTTTACTGAATCATACGACATTAACAGCAGTTTACTTCAGTCTGCTTTTGATTGTATTCATATTATGTTTTTTTAGTGAGGACACCAAGAAGTTAAAAAAAAAAGATTCAATTGACTTGAATTATTTTGAAAAATACATGAAATGTAACAGGTGCATTGTAGCTACAATTTGCATCAAGCTACATGACAATAATTATATTAATGCTTGTTTTGCTTAACACTCACTTCATAACACCATAGAGTGTTCGTAATAACTTTCATCTGCTACCTATTAACATTACCTATTTCCTATTCCTCACAATTTAACCAACTAAACAGTGACAGCTTACTTGAAGTTAAGTTCCGAAAGCAGCTGAACAGAAAGTGAGGCTATATTTGACAATGATCAAGTGATTTTCTGAAAACAATAGGATCACCTATGGACCGAAATGGATTCCAGTGCACACAGAGACTGTCACTTGACCTAAAAAAAAAAAAAAAAAGCACTGCTAGGTGATAGGGAAAGTAGTCCGAAGCCCTGCTGTGGATCAAATTAATTCAAAACAGAAGGTTCTTGTTGACATCTTATCATAGATAATCAGGGCTGTTGCTGGGGAGGAGTTGGTGATGATTATTGGGGTCCCCAGCTATTTGGGTGCCCACGGGAATTTCAGCAGAGGTTTTCAGCACGACTGTAAAGTAATAACTGATTTTTCCAGTGCTGTAAATGACCCAGTGAATGACGCCATGTTCATGGAAAATATACAAAAAGCCCAAACAAACCGTAAAATCAAAAAGGTTCACTTTCCATCTGCTTTAATATATTGCAGCGTCTGTAATTTATACACAAGAGGGCGCCAAAGGCCAGTGCAGCTCATAATGATCTCATGATTTTGAAGTGGCTTGACTGCTTTTTATTCACAAACATTACAGTTGAAGCTTCTCTAATTTTATGTTCAACGCTGAAGAAAAAACACAGAACACAGGTGAGCTTAGTCATGTAAATAGTGCAATGACCATATATCATCAGTTATTTTAGCTGTAGTCACGGCCATCAATAAAATTAACAGACACTGTGAAAAATACTAGGGGTGGACTTTGGGAGTTGGTTATATTGGGGGCTGCTCTTTCATAAAATGTATTTGGTGACTACTAAGATTAAACAATACCACTGCAGGTCTATTGCATAATGAATGAAATTAACAGCACAATTAGATCACATGATTTTTAGGGGCTGAGTTAACAAGCTCTTCTGGGTGTGTCTATGGGATGGCCTGTTGAGGGGGTTTTGCCCTCCACTGTGTTCCCAGACTGCACAATGCTGGGAACTTTGGGAGGGTAGCTCTGCAGTTGAGTGCTATTTTTAAACACTACATCCACAATCTGTCAAGGCCTACTCCACAGAGACCTGCCACCAGCAGTCTCCTCAAGCCACGGAATTCAACCCGGGACAACTCTCCAGATGTGATGGAAAACATCTGGTCTGAGCTGCACACAGGCAAGGGGGTTCTCTCTCTTTTACAATTATTTGTACTTTTCTGCTAAAATATGTGTTTATAGAAACTACTTTCAGATAGAAATGATTGAGTTATGCAAGTCGATTTGGCAAATATGTGTGTTCTGCAGGGCCATGTACCAACTGCCTTAAGAATGCCTTGTAAACTGCAAGTGCAAACAGAATTCCTGAGTTTTCACTGAATTTGTATTAAGGTGACAAACATATGCACAATTAGCAATTTAAGATAGGAAAACTAAAATTGAATGACATTAATGTATGTAAGTTTTAATAAATGTTTTAAAAAATGTTCAATAATTACCAATATGTCTAAATATGTCTATATACTATTTAATAGACATAATCCCCCATAATAATCCCCCAAAATGATGTAATAGTTAGCTAACTTTGCATTTCAATTTAAACTCATTAAGTGATAAATAAATAAATAAAAATCTGGGTATATTGCCCAATCCGGGTATACTGTATTAAATGGCTACTAGGGTACATTAACATTGAGAAATGTGCAAAGTTTAGTACTGATTTACAAATTAAAAACAATTTTGAACAAATTCGGATTCATTCATCTTACTTCACGAAACTATCAAATCACCAAACCACACTGCTTATCCAAAGTCATTTATTTATTGCTTTAATTAAAAAAATGATTACTTGTCATTTGTTACACTTAGTAGTTAATGAAACACTTCCATGTTTTCTGTCTTTCAGAACAGGTTTAGGCACACAGCAATGCATACAACAATTATTTTCCTCTCTTTCAATTTAAACTCTTGACATGGAAGAGGAGGTGGTAAATCTAGGGCTTACTGCATGAAAGGCGGACACTATGCAGAATTCTAGATCATAAAGTAATTCAGCTTCCACAAATGTCCCATACTGAAGATGATAATCCACTCCCCTAAACTCTTGTTATGCCTTTACTGTAAAATTACAAAAACAACAAAAAGCATTGTGGAACTGAAGCAGAAGCAGAGAAGTTACTTTGGCGGGTATTGTCTTCAGCAGATCAGGAGGACAAAAAGTCCACTAAACGTGAGAAAATATCACATTAAATACGACTGAAAAAAAGCATCATCCACAATCTTGGTAAACAACATATACTTAATCAGAGCGTATTGTGTGCCTTGCGTCCAAAGAATGCATGGCTGTTTGCACTCCTTAAAAAAAAAAAAACCATGATGTGGGTCAGGCGTTAAGAAAAACACTGCATTTATTATTAGCAGATGTGAGTGAGCCAAAAATAAAATGATGCAGCCCACATTCCAGTGGCAAAAAAGCATATAGATTTTGCCAAAATACAGCTATAGGTCAACATACCACCTACTATTATTAGCCTCCTTCCATACAAGGTCCACACAAATTCTACAGCTCATGTACATGCAGCTTTAAGTAAAGGGACTGACTGAAGCGGACTTAGCAAAGATCGTACCAGCCAGGGCTTTAGCGTTCAGGTTATTAGCATCAGTTTTTCTTCTGTAAGGCCTTCTGAAACAAGCGTTCACCAGCTGTCTTGACTACTGGTCCAAGTCAACCCAGATGTGAGAATCAAATCTTCATGCTATATGGAGGCATTTCCACATAAGCATAATTGCCGTGGAGATCTTTTTAGTGGAGATCTTTACAGCATTGGAAATTCCATTATAAACGCAGGGATCAGTATTTGGGCCCCATGAATAAAATGATGCCCTGCATGAATATATACGAACAATGCAGGTACAGTACATCGCATTTCAGTGCCAAGTGGTTTTCATGATAATACCCTGATTTAATGTATGTAAAGAATAAAGCAAACATGTGAAAAAGCAGGATTTAAAATGATATTGTTTGGCATTTATCATGAAACTGAAAAGAATCATTATTATTTGACTTATAAATAACAAAGTGTCTGCACTATAATGTATACAAGATAATGTCTTTCTCCTGGGGAGGAACAGCTAAATGGCACAAGGTTTTGGATTGTAAAAATGCCTTATCATTTGGCAAAAGTCAGATGAGTTTTTTTTCCCCCCCAATAAATGACTGGTCTGCGCTAGAAACACAAGATGAGAATAGAACAGAAAAAGAAACACAAACAAAGAAACCAACTAGTCTTTCCTGACCACCACCCTAGTGAAAAAGTGCAATCTTAAATTTTGTAGCTTTTCAGCATCCTTCTAGGAGCCCAACAAAACCCTATCAACATCTCTATTTACAAAGTTTCTCTCAGCAAGAGGCTCACGCAAACACAATGGTTCAAACACATGGCTATTGCTGAGAAGAGCATGAGGTGAGATCCACCAAGCGAATCTTCGCCAATGCCAGCCTCAAAGCATTTCACTATAATCATAATGGTTATTATTATTATTATCATTTAAATAAAAAATGACAGGATCAATATAATTGCACAATCGTTACAAGACTGGGGGAGGGTGAAGCATCTCAGAGATGACACCACTCAGTAGGCCGAGCTGATCGCTCCTTATGGTGACGGAACGGACACTTCCAGAAGACGGTTGTTTTTACGCTTGCAGGCGACACCATTGCCATTCTTTGGTGTACCCTGGATGAATTTTACACACACTTTGTCCTGCTTGAACTGCACTAAGAACCTGAAAGGGAGAGAGTAAGTTAAGCTACAAGAGTGATACTGAAGAAACAAGACGCAAGACATATTGGACACTTACTCATCTGAAATATCGATACTGATCTGGTTTCTGTCAGCTGAAGTAGCACCAATGCAATGAAGTTTGGTGATAATCTCAATCAGCCGATCACTGCTCAGCAAGAAGTCCCCTTTGGCTGCAGACGCAGAACCCTAAAGAGAGAGCACGGTCAATAGTAGTCCTAACTCGCGTGGTGCCCTACCTGAGATGAGTTATTGTATGTCATACCTCTTTGAGCTTGAGGGCGAAAAAGCCATCGTTCTGCGTGCTCACAGAAACACTGCTGAGGTCCGGCAGGGGAACGCTGGCCTTCACCTGGCCCGTCTTCTGATCAGCTAGAACCAAGCTCTTCTTGGTCAGGAGGAAAATTCTTGGAGCTCCCTAAAAATTAATAAATGGACTAAGATTAGGCTGAACCTTACGATGTAAATGTAGAGATGTTTTGCTTTTGGATGATCAATCAAAATTTGCAAGTTTAGTTGTTCATGCTGTCTACCGCATAGTCTGATCCAGTGCTTGCATTTTTTCATTATTACTTGCTGGTTTTGGGAATGGAACAAAAAAAACTCCATTCACTAGCCTCTCTGTTGTAATGTCAATTCTACTGGCATAGAGTTAATTGTACTCACCTTGCCATTGGCACGGTTGATTTTGCTGACCACATCTGCAAGCAGAACTTTATCCTCTGCAAAGCTGTTCAGCTTCTGGTACTTTGGGTTTTTTGTTATCTCCACATAGTCTCCTTTGAAAGGCTGCCCCACACTGTAAAGCAGATGATGTATGTTATGGCAATAAAATGCTTTACACAGGAATCGTGTATAAAGGAACTGCTTAGGAATATTAGGTAAACAACTCATTTCCCTACCTGCTAGGATACAAGGCCTTCTTATCTTTGAAGAGTTCACTAGCCGCAAGCTTCTCCTCGTAGGTAGCCTTCTTCTCTTCTGTGAACTGGCTGCGGTATTTCTTACACTGATTGAAGGACGCCATAAGGATAGATTCATTTAAAATCAGACATGACAAAAGTCTTAACAGTTAATTTCAGATAGATCTGTCACAAACCCTCCACAGATGGAAAATTCTCCTGAGCTCTTGATGTGTCCTGTCCAGGAAACCGTAGGGGCGAGCTGGCCAGCTCTTATCAATCGGTGACATGGAAGGCATCGTCTTCTTCAAGCCCAGGAAGTACTTCTGCATCTGTAGACAAAAACTCATATCAGTCCCTTATGGTAGTATTTTCTTTCTTCTCTGAAGAATGACAATATATAGAGAACGTGTCAGAAATCATTTCCTAGGGGTAGCACCAACTAGTTGGTTATTGATTGGTTATATATTACACTAATCAATGTGTTGGGTCATAAGAAAGTCAACTAGATGCAAAAGACATGACTTAAAGGTAGGGTAGATGATTTCGGAGAGGCTAGCAATAGCAAGCCAGCTTTGAAAGCATAAGATCCCACCCTCCCTGCAAATCACTCTCCAAAGCCACGCCTCCTCCAAAACACATGAACGTGCACAGGCAGACCAGAGACTAACCAGTGACACGACGAGAGATTGTGTTGGTGGAGGGTTGAATGCAAACCTGTCAGATTACCTAATGTCTCATTCACCATTGAGAAAACTTTACAATACAAAGCGCATAATATTACAATAATAACGCCTTCCATTCTCGCTCGGTCTGAAATGGTGTAATAAAACGCACTGATGATGTATCATATATTAGCGCAAATACATATGTTGACAGGCAGGTAGGACAGCCTATCGTAGCCCTCGGACCAAGGGATATGATTGGATGAACCTTTTATGGTCCTACGCCGTCCACAGATGATATAAATACAACTAAATACATTTAGACCACTTAACTTAGTGATTGCTATCGGGATGTGAAGAGACTTTCAACCAGCATAACAAAACATGTTTTTGAACCAAATCACCTACCCTGCCTTTAATTTGTACTTGTCTACATGGACTTAGCAGTGGGAAAATTTCTCTTTCTGCTGTGTCATTAGCTTGGTATAGTTGTTACGGCTGAAGATATTTGGAATGAAAGTGAAAAAGTGAAGCAGGAGCACTTTGGCTTTACAACGTATGCAATAAGCAAACAATGCTCTTCATCAAATGGACTTGCCTGATGCTGCACGGCTTGTGGTAATTCATAAGGTAAACAGTGACCCACCAACAAGTAAGAATACTTTTCTGGATGACTACGTGACAAGCAAAAATGAGTATGTAACTCAGCTACTTAAGTGACTTACAATTCTCTGGATGGTGAAGTCATAGATCTTCTTGCCAGCATTAGCTCTGAAGAACTTCCTGTATTCCCGACGGACCTGTGAAAAAGTGGGTTCAATTAGTCACTTCTTTGTATTGAAAGTGCTTTGTGATGACAGCAGGAATGGGACAGGACACTGTCAGGACAGACAAGTGGTTTGTGACAAGCAGGGTCTTAACCCCTAAAGAGCAGCGCACTGAAAAGCAAAGACAAAAGAGAACTGATGCTGTGATCAAAACAATGAGATCCACAGTCAAACAGCACACAGTTATCTTTACAGAACCTGTCAAATCAGGTTCAAGAAGTCACCCCTAAGATCCCTACAAGAAAAAAAACAAAACAGTAATAACAGCAAAAACAACAGTGGAAACAAAACACAACAAAGGCCTTTAATGTCTGTAAAAGCCAACAGAATGTTAGGAGCAGCATGCAGACAGCAGTCAGGGCAGGCACACAGAAACAGTTAGAAAACATGGCTGTCCTAGGGTTGGTCTACTAGAGCAAAGTTTTAGTCATTAATAAATTCATGCAATTCTGCTCTGTAATTCAAATGTCATCTCGCAAGGCAGACTTTTGGCATAATGACTGGCTTATCCTGTAGCTCATTTTGCAAGTGGCAGCTCTCTTAAATCATGTCATAATGGTCTGTTATGCAGAAACTGTGTTGATTTGGTCAAAGTTTCCCTCCATTTAGAAGTAATAAGTACTAAATAAAAACACCAGGTGAATCAATTTGGATTATTATTATTTTTTAAATAGTACATTACTTTAGATGTAGATGTTAAAATAAGACAAAACAAGGTTTAAAACCAGCTAAACATCAAATCACATCATACATCATAATATAATGTAAAATGAAATTTTAATTATGAATTTAAAACTTGATATAACATTTAGTCAAGGTCTATAATATTTTGTCAGACAGAAATTGCTATTTGTGAGTAAAACAAATAGAAATAATATATAAAATATAACACAAAAAAATAAGAAAAGTCAGATAAATTCATTAAAATGTTAGCCACAAAGAACAGTCATTGGGATTATGAAATTTAAATATTATTGTTTTATAATTATCATTGACCAATCAGAATCAATGATCAGAATTATCAGTATTATAAATTACAAATAAAATCTCAAAAAAGGACCCATACATATACACTGATGTGTACGGGACCCTAAAACACCCAAAACACCCACTGACCTTAGAACAGGCCCTGACAAACAGACATATCTTCAGGCAGCCTGCGCACTGTCATGCTAACAGCTACAGGTGCATCTCAATAAATTAGAATGTCGTGGAAAAAAAAGAACCAAAGACTTAAACTACTTCAGTCTGTGTGCATTGAATTTATTTAATACACGAGTTTCACAATTTGAGTTGAATTACTGAAATAAATGAACCTTTCCACGACATTCTAATTTATTGAGATGCACCTGTATTTTGCCCAGTGCCAGTCTTTAGGAATACACAAACTAAAGCATCTGCCTCCAAACTTTGCAGAGGAAGCCACATCCAGCATCTAAATCTTCGTGGCATGTTTTAACACTTTGCCCTCGCTTATGACAACACTAATGTGCGTCACTGCCTTGGATGCTAATGGACCTGTGGAACCGAACTCTGGGGTTAGATTATATTGTTAGTTCATAGCAGAGCAGCTGGTTATGCAACACAGAGGCTGGTTATATGCACGCTTCCTACTCATTTCCGAATTACTCTAACGCCTGGCAAATGGTTGGAAGATACCTTTAGTCCCAACCAGTAGGCCCAAATGACAGCGATGGCGTGCTTACGCCTGGCTTCCTCCTTCAAGCATTTCAGCTCTCTACGTGCCTGTGAAAGAGGGAGGAAGAAGGGGATGAATGCAGAAAGGAGGGAAATATTTGTAAAAAGCCGAGTGAGGAGGAGGTGCATAACACCAGGTCCACAGATAGGCACACATCCCACAAAACTGCACACCATTCCCGGCTGGTAAAGAAATTCTGTGTGTGCTGTTGGTTAAGACAGATGGACATTGTTGAGGTTTTCCTGTGGAGAGCATGTTGCTTTTCATGGGGTTAACAAAACATGAGCAAGAACAAGGGAAAAAGAGCAATGAAAAAAAAGTTAGATATATTGACTGTTTTTAATACTTCATATATATATATATATATATATATATAAAACAGAAAACCATAGATCTATTTTATATCTAAAACTTAGTCTTCTGTAAAAACCTTGCTACAAAATTTGCATATCCCTGATCTATGCCCTTACTGGATAAGACCAAACACAAGGAGTCCAGACTGACTCCTAGGGAGTGCTTAATAAAGTGGGGCACTTGGTATGGACAGAGGTCGTGCCGGCTGTGATGCCAGCCTGCTGTGTGGGAATCGGCCTGCAGGGTGCATGTCTGGATGAGCTTTAATCCATGCAGTCAGAGGAAAGAGGCTTAAAAGATCGCATTCGGTTCTGCCCCCAACGCAGGACATTGTTGAGGTTTTCCTGTGGAGAGCATGTTGCTTTTCATGGGGTTAACAAAACATGAGCAAGAACAAGGGAAAAAGAGCAATGAAAAAAAAGTTAGAGGACAACTGCTCTCTTAAAGGCACACACACCACACAATAAAACAAGCCACATCAACCTCAACAAGCCAAAGGCCACTCAAATGGGGTGGGAGGAAACAGCAGTGCAGTGCACTCAGAAAATGCAAAGAGAAGTTCACATGGGCTTGTGGATGGAATGAGATGACTTTTCTCATCTATAGGACAAAATTTACACCAGGGATACTCAACGTCCAGCCCACAGGCAAAATCCAGCCTGCCACGAGGTTACTCAGGCAATCAGAACACTTGTGTTATAATGAACGAAGATGGTGACACTTCAGGCAAATACACTGATTATACAGCAATGTAGTGTTGACATGTCACAGCACTCGATTCAGACAGGGTCTAAAACTTACACAATATATTTAAATTACATTTAGTTGGCAATCAGATAAATTTACCAAAGGTTTTGCATCTCATCAAGCCACATTTCTTTTTTAATAACCATGAATTATAGCATTCGGATATTTTATCACTACCTGGTCCATCATGACACTAGCATAAACATACCAACATTTCTAAGATGACCTGTGTTTTTTTTGTCACAGTACAACTTAAAACCAAATAAAAATTTTGTCATGCCATTTTATTTACTGACTCTCAATTACCAAAAAAAACCGGGAAAAATTTAAACAAATAAAATAAATTAAAAGTAGCCTGTTACATGGCAAATTATTATTTTTTTTCCTAAGTTCTGCCCCCAACGCAACACACGCTGATCCTGCTCTCCCTGTTCCCATCCTCTGCCATCCCATTCATTGAATTTTTTTTTACAATCGGCTACAATACAGTGCAAGTATGATTCATGCTGTTGGGTCCTGGATTATGTTGGCATGCACAACGGGATGAGCTCAGGGAAGATGGGTCATGATCCACTTCAGGTACATATGGAGGTTTGAGATAGGTTAAATGGAGGATGGGATGCCACACAGACGTAGTGGTGAATACCTTAGTTCCTTGCCAGCAGGCCCATATGACAGACACGGCCTGTTTACTGCGAGCTTCATGTTTTAAGCGCTGCAGTTCTCTCCGAGCCTGTTCAGTGTGGCATTTTTTTTTTTTTTAAGAAAACGAAGAAGAAGAGGGGGGAAAGGTATTAAGAACAGACGTTAAAGACACGAGAGTTGTACATCAGTACATTTTCAGAGAGACGGAAACATGGCAAAAGTACTTTTCTTGTTTAAATAACTTGTGATTCTTGCTTATCAGCCCTATTAACGTAACATTCAAATGACTACATCGACCTTTGGCAGGTCTTGTCCTGTAAACATTTTTTATCAGCATATTGGCCACGTCTTTTATTGTTGCAAGTGAAAGACACTGAGAATAACCACATAGTCAGCCAGGACAGACAATCAATCACTTTTTACATACATCAGTCATATGAGTGGACATTTTGTGGTGCAATACCGTTCAATTTCAAAACTCTTAAATGCTGAATTTTGATGAAATCAAATCAGCTCTGACTGAAACTGAGGTTGTAAAATGTTAATATAAAGTCTTCAAAGCTTATGAAGGTAAAAAAAAGCAGACCAAAGACAGTATAGTCTTGAAATTTTAAAACATGAAAGCAGAAACACATGACATTTCCAAAACGCACACAAATAAAGAGGTTATGAAATATTTCAATATTGTTAAGGGTTATAAAGTAGAAGTTGAAAAAGGGTTAGTTTTAAGAACGTAATATTCATACATGCATTCAATTTCATACACATTTTCATTTTTAGGTATAGGCGTTTCACCATCTGCCACCACCATGTCAGCAAAAGAACAATATGTTAGTATTTCCTGATTATTTCTCAAAAGATGCTACCTACAAGATGACAAAACAGTTAGTCACACACAAACAAAAGGGATGTCATTCACAGCTTCGGTGAGGCGGGATGGGAGATGACTACGTTTGGCAGACTCATTAAATACCTTAGTTCCAAGCCAAGCTGCCCAAATGACAGACACGGCGTGTTTATTCCGTGCCTCCTCCTTAAGACGCCGCAGTTCCCAGCGAGCCTGCGGATGTTAGCCAAGGAGGGCCACGTGGAAGCAGAGACAGGATGGCAAAGGTTAAAGTCCGAAATATGACAAGAAGAGAGTGACTGAAAAGAGTAAGTCGCATCAAAAGCAGAAGTGAAATTAGGACTAGAGAAAAAACAAAGCAAAAGCAGTGGAGAAGCTCCAGTGTTGAACATCAAAACCCACAATTCACCATTTCACCTCCTTATTCAAGGAAAAACTGTGTTCAGTACCTGAGTTCCATGCCAGTATGCTGAAATAGTTGTGACGGCCTCTTCGCACCGCTTCTTGTGTTTCAGCTCACGCAGAAGCTTCCGGGCCTGTGAAAAGGACTTACACAGTGAGGAAAGACCCTTTGTTTGCTAAAGGAAATGACATGCAGTGCACCTGAAACCTACCTTCCATCCTCGGATGAATGATTGTAACACTAAGGCAGAGGACCTGATGTTCTGGTACTTCTTTTGTTGCTACAATCAAAAACAACCAGCAATCTTGAGTTTAAAAAAGTTCCACTTCTGATCCCAGAAACAATGAATCATATTAAAAACAATTCATGTTTTTTTATGGCAGATGTAGTGAATGGTGCTCACCGCAAATCTTCGGTACCAGGCGGCCACCACCACCTGGCTCTTCTTTAACAGGAGAAAGTGAGTGCGGCACTTCCAGCCACGGTAGATCTTCTGGATGAGCGTTGCCAAATCCTCTAGGCACTGACTCCTCTTCTCTTCCAAGAAGAAGAGCTGAAGAACAAAAGTGGTTTGGAGAAATCAATATCAAACACAAAATCAGACTTTTACAAACTGACATAAACCACACCCATATCCACATCCGGTTTCAAATACAACATATGCATTAATGTGTAAAACCTCCTTCACTGCTGATGCATCTCAGCATCGCACTGAGATGTCATCATGGACATGAGCCAAGGCATTAAAAAAAAAGTTTTCGGTCTTCTCTTTCCATACTGGCATCATGCTGATGGTTACGTCATTACTATAGCAAATAATGTAGATAAACACTGTCTGAATGAACGGATCAGATTTCATAACTTTCAAAATGATAGCGCAGACAGTCAGTCTCAGATTTGAACAAGATCGGATTTGAAAAACAAATCAGATTTGTGCGCAATGTGAGCAAGCCTAAGATACATTATCAAAATTCCCAAGGATAAGAGCCGTGAGAGCCACAAATTTGATGGAGAGAACGTTTGTGAAACCACATGATGTCCTTTTTATTTGCTGCAGGATTCTGATGGTGATGATCGCCAAGACCAGCAAAAAAAAAAAATCCAGCCATAGTGGGACCAGCATCCTCTGGTATTAAATAGCTGTTGACAGTGTCTGCCAAATTGTTCTGAACAGCGAAACAAGGCCAAGCTCAAAGTACAGAGCTATGGTTTACTTACTTCCAGAAAGGTTGGTTCTGGGCAAGAAAAATAGTCTCTTACCCTTTTAAAGCAGCTGTGTTTCTTGAACCAGGAACTGGTAATGTCTGAGGCCAACAGCAACAACTCAAAACATATAACTAAACTAGTTCCCTTCCATTGTAATCAAATTTAGGTCTAAATAGGTTCAACAAATCATTAAAATAACTTCTCACAACCTTGAGTAAAGGTGTGGTCACATCACTGAAAGTGTAGTGACAACAGTGTAGTGACGTATGAAGCACAACTGACACAGAAGCCACTTTCAAATCAAGCAGCTTTCTGTTGGTCAACACTCTGAATTTGAGTGATCAGATTGAACACGAGCAAAATCTGAGTGGGGAAATTTTTAGTGTCACATGGAACTCCCGAATTATGTGTATTCCTAATGAAATTTCACAGAGCAACCATAAATGTGACCGTACCTTTAGACTCCTATCCAAAGACTGTGATGCACTGTTTGTCTGTCATCATTGTTCAGCTCTCACATCAGTAGAAATACAGGTGAGTGAATTTGTAGATCTCTTGTCCAAGCAAAAGCTCTGGCACCAACAACATTTCAGTGGCAAAGAGGTGAATGATGACTAGACTACATTAGGGCTGGGCAGGTGTCAAACATGATCTCAAACTCCACTGGCTTTGAACAAACATCTGGAGATAGGAAATTATGCAGGAGGTATGGACAAGGATAAGATAAATTCTCCACAGTGCTAGATCGGTGACTGACGCCCAGGCTTCAGTAGAGGGGTTTCATGGGCTCCTCTGGAATTTCTCAGCTGGAGTCTCGTTTCCCATGCAAACTGACAAACAGTGGAGGGGGGGATAAGTGAAACCATGTGTGTGACTGCCTGTTTGCGTTTCTTTCTTTCATGAGGACGATTGCTGTTAAGTAAGTATACAAGAGAAGCCTGAAGGAACATGACTTCCTGCTTGAAAAGCCTTACAAAACCCTTAAAGACTATACGTAATACATGCATTGGCCTTTTGATTCCTCATATCAAACTTACAAATCCAATCCATCCACCATGCTGGAACTGGAAAGGAGCCAATTGATATATTTGCCAGGCTAATGTTAAATGGTTCTCATAAGGAGAGAGCTGACTTCTGTATAACTGAATCAAGATCACACTCAATGATCTTTAGAGCAGTAACTCACTCACCGTTCTTGGGTTCCTGATGAAGATCTTTGAACGTCCATAGGCAAACTCCTCAGCAGGAACCTGCAGATCTTTCATGAGAACCTCAACACCATCCCTGATAATAAACAGGCCATTAGTTGTCAGTCAACCATGCCATTTACAAAAAGTTTATTTGGTAGGTCCAAAACTCTGAGACCACTGGTGAAAATGCCTCTAAACAATAACAATTTGAGTAAACATTCACCTGGTCTTTTTTTAAAAACGAGAACCACTTTAGCTGACAAGGGCTCAAAAGGTTTACATTTTTTAATATACTTTTGGAAGATGCTTTTATGCAAAGCAACTTCAAGTTATATATTTTGCTAATATGCTCATTCTCTGGGAATTGAACTCACAACCTTGGCAATGTTAGTGCCACACTCTACCAGATCTACACATGATCAAGATTGCAAATAGTGTGTTTATTTCATTTATTTATTTTTTCTCCAGTTTAAAAAAAAAGTTATTTTCAATGTAGTCTCAGACTTTGGTCTGAATACACCCACATCACAGGCACATCACTGAACAGGCAGCAACAAAATAATCAGAGAGGAGACAATAATAAGGTGCATAGTATGATTTAGCACAGAAACATGCACCATGTGAGTGATAACAAACAGTGTCTGAGTGATCTGAAAGAAAAGTAAAACATAGTCTAACCACTGTCGGCATTGAGACGATGATAACATTCCAATGAAAGATAACATAAGACGCGCAACTCAAAATCTCCATGAACACTAAAGATTCTCCTATCAAACTATTTAGTGAATTGACTCCATGTGCAGAAGTGACATAGTTATGAGGGCCAATTCTGTCTTGGCATGTTTGCCATCAGATAGAAGTAAATTTGAAAAAGGTCTGCTTTTCTGTAGCCAAGCGGTGTTAAAGTAACCGTTAAACCTGCAAGGCACGAAGGAAGTTTTAAGACAAGAAACAGCATGTTTAAATATCTATGAATGAGTATAAAAAAATCATGCAATTGGAGGTACGAATTGCTTAATCTCAAATGTGATGACAGTATAATGACATAAGCTGAACAATATGTTCAGAAAAACAGCGAAGCCTGCAGAGGAGTTCTTTAAAACAACACACAACCACAAGATCATTGGTGGACTAACCTGGCTGGGCCCTTCCAGTGGGGCCAGGTCTGCTTGCAGAGCATCTTGTAGCGTTCCAGACAGGGATCGTAGGCCTGGCGGAAAGCATAACCAGCCCTTCGTACACGCACATTCTCCATCAGACCCAGGTAGCGCACCTGGTGACACACTAGTGAGTCTGTAAAAATGTGGGCTGCTTTCTTGTCATTGGGTTTGATGCACCTGAAGAACAAAGACATCAATCAATATTCTCATACTGAATAGAAATGTAAAAATCATTGGGCTAATCTAGAAACTTGTCAAGAACATGTCCAGATCATTTCTCAGTGTTAATTTAATTTTTTTAAATACTTCATATTCTAGTAAGGGATCCGCACTCGCTTAATCTTCTTAATCACTTTCGATTTATTTTAATTTTGCAACAGAGCAAACAACAATCAAAGCAAAGTCTTTATATTGTCTTTGAAATGATCATTTGCCACTTCAGAGAGATGTGAGTAATCGGGTCAAACTGCAGTTGTCCTTTTCATGTGATATCTCTCCACGAGAGCCGGATCAGCAGCCCTCTCTCCTCAGACTCTAGGAATAGCGCCACTTCCCTTAAATGCTATTAGCAGACAGATACGACAGAGTGGAGGAAGGCTGATACAATTATTGTGTGATTCAGACCATCCACAGTCTTTCGGCCTTGAATGTTTACAGGTCAAATTCTGATGCGCGCACACACACACAAGGAATGGTTTGAGGTTTTCTGTTTTTTCGTCTTATTTAGGCACACACACAACAGTCAATATGTCCAGTCCTCTCTAGGGTGGTGCATATTGTGCCCGGGCTGGTACAGCTATCATCCGATATTAACTGAACTGAGGGACACTGAGGACTTTTACGGCATGGTATTTCACGCCATCCTGATAGGACACCAGGAGAGCAGGAGGAGAGATTATTATTATTATTACTACTTATAAGTGGTCTTTGACCGCTTTAAGTAAAGTAGCATAAGAAAAATGGCAAGATATGAGACTTATAATACATTATAACTATGAGAAATATAATCCATTGTAAAAGTGGATGCAACGTGTTCATTGTGTTATAAATCATACTCTTAAAAGCTATAACCACAAATAAGTAAATATTATAATATATTAAAACTGTTCTTATGAACATTCATGAGATGATACAACATATTATAAGGTTTTTTATAATGCATTATGCATTCATTATAATGCCTTAAGAATACCCTTATAATGTATTATAAATACAGGCTTCATAGAAAGTGTTACCGCAATTTCTGATTAAAAATAGTTAAATCATTAAAAAAACATTAAATAAAAATAGTTAAAAGTAAATCCTACACCATGGTAATGTGAAATTTCAATATTCCGTATTAAGTATTTTGTTTATTTAAAGACATTTAAAGACATTTTAAAGACAAACATTTATGTTGACATTTTGAATTGATGTCCAATGGGAAATTTGGGTCTTAAAATAAAAAACTAGTTGATAAACACTGTTTTTTATGAATATAGAAGTGCACAGAACTGAACAGATTAATAGAACAAGAGATGTAGAAACAAAATGGCCTAATTTTAAGCAGTCACAGCAACAAAGTGTTCTAAAAAAAGTGTGATTAAAGCAAGGCACATCGTATTAAAATCTTCCGGATTAAGCTACCACATTATCACTTCATATGAGAAAAATTAGAAAATGATCAATCACAGACCAGCATGTTTATCTTCCGAGAGACAAGATGCTCCCGGGAGCTCCTGAAATACAAACCACCATGAATCTGAGCAGCGCCAAAGGTCTGAGGCGTCAAAGACAAACAGATCAGGCTCTTTAAACTCTTAACTGTCAACAGAGTTGACTCCATTTAGAACCGAATCCAGAACTCGGAGTTGTGTCACAAAGAGCCCTCGGAGATCTCTGGAGTGTTCTGTGCTTACAGTAAACAAAGATAAGAGCCATTCTCATCTTCTCTTGTTTGACTAGAGTTTTCCTCTCTTCTGTTTTGATTGATAAGATCTGCCCAGGCATTGCTTTTGGCATTAAGACAAATGTGAGTGTACACTTCGTAGTCTTCTTGACATGTAGAGGACAGACTTTCCTCCTCTCTGACGCTCTCGGTCTCCTTTTCCTGGGAAATTAATACCAGAATAATGCACATAAAAAGGATTATTGCCCCACAATATAAACGTTTGCCCTCCAACATTGTGTCAAGGTTCAGGAATTAGTATCATTCATGCAAAAACTAGGAATGTGATTTGGCATGGAGGCTGAGATTTACCATGGAAGAGGGAGAGTGATATGACCTTGACTCTGTGTATTTTTCCTGTGCTGCTAAACTGAGCTGTGAAGTGTTTGGAACAGAATGGAATGTCTGTGGAATTCCCCTCGATTCCCCCGCATCATTCAGTAGACCTACCTTTGACAGATTTTGCCACATTGAAGTCTCTCAACCCTTTTCTCTTCACTTTTTTCTCTCATTCTCTCTCTACCACAGTCAGGAAATGTTACCTCATACAGAAAAATACATCTATGTGTGAAACACAATTGCACAGGATCTTTCCCTGCCCAAGAATATTTCCAACAGGTCTCTTGTTCCTGTTCAAAAAAACATGAGAACACAGAGGAGTGTGCAAGAAGTCATTAAAGAATATCTTAACAAGTCTTAACAAGAGAAAAACAAGTTTAAGCATCAGGTAAAAAGTGAAAGTGCATGCCTTTGAATACATGGTAAGGCTGAAGAGGAACTTAATTCGGTATAAAAGGTTTAACAGAAAAATATGTATTTAATAAGATATTAAGCTATTTTACATGAGCAAGAGTGCTGTTGTTATAAATTTCACTGATATTTGAACCAACAGCAACATTTCGAATGTAATATTGCAACACACCTCATGTCAGTTTGTAACAATTTTAAACTTGGCAGCTAACTTTTTTTGTATGATCTGACAATTAGGTTTAGAGGTGGACCTTCGTGCTCCTACATTTTTTTCTAAAAATCTTGTCTTCCGTACAGATCACATTGTATAAATTCAAATGAAATCTCATATGAGATTAAGTTGGATATTGTTTTTATAAAACAGCTCAATAAACAAAAAATAATATTGATGAATAAAATTTTAGACACAATATTGTCAAGTACTTTTTCAAAAGAAATCAAAGCAGAAATTGTGTCTCAGAGCAACACATAAGAGTAGTGCTCCTACAAATGCGTCAGTGTTTTAAACTAATTGTCTGAGTGAATAATTTAATGACTCACTCATAAGAACAGCCACTTGTTTCTTTACAATGAAAGGTGCACTAAGCAATATTTGAAAAAATGCTTTTGACCCCAGTGTCGGACCGAGTCCCAAAACACACTCGCAGCCAATCAGCAGTAAGGAGCGTGTCTAGTAATGATAGGGAGAAGAGAGCATTCAGTAAGTGCACAGGACGGATATTAGCAGATCGACTACAGATAGCGATAGATGGCAGATAAAAAAATTTTAAAAAAGAGGAAAAATTCGGAGGAACAAAACATTAAAAAGAAGGGTTATGATTAGGCAAGAGGTGGAGAGAACTCGAAGAGCAGGAAGGCCTGGAATTAGATGCGGAGGTTGCTTTGTTTCTTCTAGATAGGCGAGTTATGTTGATTTTGCTTTGTTTCACACAACTAATCTGTGTTGGCTTTTGCTTGAATATGCTGCGGCTGGCAGGCATAGCAGATTCCACCATCGTCGCTGCCAGGGTTGTGTACGTACGTGTGGGGCGGAGTTATCAAAATAAGGGCGAGGTCCTATTGGGGTATGGGCGTGTTTGTTTGAGTGCTTTCAAATATCAACATCGTTTGGCAAAATTAGCTTAGTGCACCTTTAATTTCCTCAATGTACTAAATTACTAAAACTTTAACAAACTACAATTATAACAATACATACTAATTAAAACTATATACTAATATTTGTAATTTTGGCAATGTAAAAATATAATGATTATTTCTAAATAAACTACACATTTTTTAATGATTTATTTTAAGCTTGCTGTTTAATAAAAATGAAAATCTATATAAAATGTTACCTGATATAGTTGGGGTTCTTGGTCAGCAAGTTCTTCATGAGCGTTCCCACTGAGGCTCTAAACTGGAATCCAGCTGTGGGGGGCCGCTTGAGGTTCACTTTAGCTGGGTTTCCCTCAGGAAAGAGAATCTTTATCAGGCTGTGATTGGCTTTGTACATGGCCTGGGATAAATCTCTGTAGAGGAGGTCATTGTTTTTATCCACAAATCCCTCCGCCCGATACAGCACCTGTGTATACAGAATATTACGTTCAATAACTCTTCTTTACACTCTACTTTACAATGTGCTTGTTTCTGAAAACACACAATGTGTATTGGAAAGCATTTACAAATGTACATATCTCAGATTAGTGTATACTGGATCCCTCTGGCTTCTCCCATCATCATTATTATTTGTCATTTTGAAGAGCTATAACTCAGTTTATGGGCAAAGAACACTTACCAAATTTTGCATGTATAAAAGGCATGTGCCCAATTACATTGTTGCCAATTTTGCAATGGATAAGATGTATGGTTGCTTTTGTAGATCTTTTGTAGAGTAATGTAAATGTAAAAACATCAATGCAACTCCACAGACTGTTGCATGTGGGCTATCCTTTAATGAACTGAGATCTTCTCCACAATTTAGCAGAAGACTATAAAAGGTTTAAGACATCCTTGTTCACTATTCACACCATGAATCATAAGTGTGACAACCATTCGTTAACACGTCATTCATTCTTAAATGTAATTCATATACAACACTGTATCTAAAAGTATTGTGAGCATGTGATGCACGGTTTATATAGTATTGTATGTAAAGCTAAAAACTAAAAATGAGCGAGAGCTTAAGGGATGTTGAAATGGGGAAACTCTATGGACTCACCTTGCCAGCGTAGTGCTGGATGCGGAAGCAGTTGTGTGGTAGGCTGTGGTCTGTGAGGAACTTGGAGTTTTTGCTCTGTCTGCTCTCAAAGTGCTGGTGTTCAGCACACACGGTGTTCAACTTGTCCAAGAAAGTCTCATCTGTTACTGTGCCTGGCCTCAAACACTCCTCATCCAACATGGCCAAAATCCCATTCTTGTTCTGAAAACAAGAATTATGGTTATCAGATCAAACACTGAAAAAAAATATATTAAAAACCTTGTGAAACTGTAGATTTGTGGGTTTTAAACCATGTCTGTAAGTCTTGGGTTCATCTGTATGCTGTATATATTAACGCAGTTTCTGCAAGTATGTTTCATAGGGTTTATAATAAAGAGAAAATTAGGATTCTAGAAAAAAAGAACACAACTGTCTCTTGTCTGCAATTCTTGTAAAACTACTGTCATATGCAGACTTACATTCTCGATGAGGTCACATATGATGGCGTTGTTGAAATACTCAATGTTGGTCCACTCAATATCCTGTAGACAAAGATAGAGGCAAACCACAGATTTGTTTTCTTTCCATCAGTTTTCTCTTTCTAAAGAGGGATATTCCTAGAACACAGTCTTAAAACTAATCCTGTAGCGTCAACAGACAAATCTGAGTGGTTTAGGAAAGATGCTGACAAGCTTTACTATACTTGAACAGGTAAACAGCAGATATCCAGGAGTCGCGATTATTACTTAACCGTGCAAAAGTGCAATGATTTGATCCAACTGCAATCACTGATTTTTATTATTATTATTATATTCCTTTTCATAGTAATAACAATAATAACAATATTACCATTAATAACATTCCTAGAACACAGTCCTAAAACTAATCCTGGAGCGTCAACAGACAAATCTGAGTGGTTTAGGAAAGATGCTGACAAGCTTTACTATACTTGAACAGGTAAACAGCAGATATCCAGGAGTCGCGATTATTACTTAACCGGCTGAGTGCAATGATTTGATCCAACTGCAATCACTGATTTTTATTATTATTATTATATTCCTTTTCATAGTAATAACAATAATAACAATATTACCATTAATAACAACAACAACAACAATAATAATAATAATAATAATAATAATAATAATAGTTATTCTACCTTTACAAAGCTTGAAAAGAAAATCATGCATTTTACTTTTAAGTGAATAAATTACTTGCACTGAAGATAGAGGGGGAAAAAAATTCCAACCAAACTGCCACACACAACAATGATCTCTATAATCGTATACAGTTCAGTTATGCAGTTCAACCAATGAATACACTGCAGATGGCTGGATATCCATGTTGCTCCATGTCATGACCGTTTCTGCGATATTTAGGGTCTGGAGTGCAGACCCGTTTACGGCCATTAGAGAAAGATGGAACCCACTGGATTTAAACAACAAATCAAAGCCAATCAAGGTAATGGGTATAACAAGCTGGAAAATAGCTGTGGGCTAATTGGACTGTGTGAAAGCTCCTCAAACTAGGAGGTAGATGTATGCGGGAGGAGGGTTCGAAAATGGGGAACTTGGAATGTGGATTGGGGCAGCATGGTCCCTAGACCCCTGCGTCCCTCCTCAGTCCTCAGAGCAGCGGTATTTTCCCATGCACTCAACTGGAGTGAAGCCAGAGAGTGGAATATCACAGTGCAGGGGTCACGGCAGCGTCAGGGCACATACTTAGAGCTCTGAAAGCAAACAGAGCTCCAAGCTCTTCAGGGAGAATTGTGTTTACCCTGACTGGAGTGAGGGATTGTTTCCATCCCCACAATCACAGCGCGAAAGGAGAAGGATTGATAGAAGGAAACAAACAGTAGACGGAGGCTTTTGGAGGAGAACACAAGCTTGCTATATACTGAATACTGCACAGTACTCTGTATAACGCCAAGGCTGAAATGCTAAAAATGTGGTTGAAAGATGTAAAATAATTCATAAATGTTTTTTTTTTTTCTAAATTCCATTTATAGTAAGATATTTCTTCATTATGTCTAAATGAATTTGTTCTACATCAGTAAACATGATGTTACGTTATCTGTCTGAAAGCACTTTCCTTGCAAGGTAACTTCATTCAAAAACTGTTAGAGGCACTGAAGTTGAGAGAAGACTATTTCTCATCGGCCGTCATGTACGGGGTGTTGCTTACCTCACGGACATACTCCTCCTGCTCCTCGCGGAGAGTAAGCTCGATGAAGATTTGCTGGAGCTTCTCATTGCAGTAGTTGATGATGAACTGTTCAAAACTGTTGTCCTGCAGGAACAGAAGGATGGATGAGAACCCACTGACCAAATGACTACTGTGATAATTACAATGTACACTGCAAACTAAAACACAACACACTGCAAACCAGCACACTAATACGGTAACAGTCGCTCAACGTTATTTACTAAGCACCTTCCTCTAGGTACCTATATAAGCTGGATACACGCTAGAAATTTTGGTGACTTCCTTTGGTGACTTTGGTGAGGAATGTCACAATAAGTCTACTTTAGGAAATCTTTAAATGTTTGTTGTTTTCCCCAATATAATACTATCTATAACTAAGGTGTCCCACTGAAGTTGCACAACTACAATGCTCTTATTTCAGTAAGCTTTATACTGGTTTGCTGCCGATGCGTGAGGGGGAAATCTGAGAAAATTCAAATGCAGTTGTTTAATATGTCACCCCTCTTACATTCTTAATTGAGGTTTGATGGAACTCAGACAGATGAATGTATGTTTCCTGTGAAAACGTTTGGTGTGACACCCACAACCAAAACAAAATGATTTAAAATAGTTTTGTGGGGCGCCGCCTTAAAGAATTCATAGCAAAGAATTTCATCAAACCATAGGCCTTTATAGCTAAGATTACATGAAGGCATAACATGGTACAATATACATAAAGGCTGCGTAATCTTATCTGTATCTTTTAATGGAGGTGAAGTCTTTAACCTCTGCACTCACAGTAAATGTTTTCCGGGTTAAAAATACAGGGTTAAAAAATCTAACCATTTATCTAACCATTTCCCTTTCTCATGCTAAACCCCAATCGGTGAACCGACTCCATCATTGAATTAAAGCAACAGTAATGCTCAATGTTATGCTCATTGGCTTATGATAAACAGTTAAGATTGTACTATTTAGCCATGACGCTGGGGTTCAGGAATTATTCAATCCTCTTCTTTTTTTTTTTTTAATCTTCAGAGCAATCCTACTGCATGTTAGTATCTCCAACTAAAGCCACTGCAATCATCAGTTCCAATGGGCTTGGCTTGAGAAAAAGCCCAAAATCACTTCCAAGAGGCAGCATATGGCACAATTAAAAGCACCAGCTCATTGTTTTACTTGGCACTGGCAGTTTTATCCTGGCAGCCTTTGCTGAGAGGCCACACTGGCATGTCAGCCTGGAGCTGCAGTGTTCTGGGAGTAATGAGAGGTAAACCCGTTCAAAGAATAACCTCAACAACTCTTACATTTTCTGAAGCCCCAAAAGCTCAGAAACACTGCAGCTCTCTGGCTGGCTTCAGTGAAGCTCAAAGAAATTCTTCACCCAAAAATGAAAACTGAGTCATTATAAATCACCCTCAAGCTCCAAAAAAAACATCATAAAAGAACCATACAAATAGTCTGTATTACTCATGCACTATATCCAAAGTCTACTGAAGCCATATGATATGGGTTTGGAACAACTTGAGGGTGATAAATAATGACATAATTGTAATTTCTGGGTGAAATGTTCCTTTAAGGTATTATGAGTACAGGATGAATGGAGCTAATGCTGTAACATCAAGCATACAGTTCATACTAATACTACTAGGAAACACTGTGCTTCAGGGTTTTGCTCTAGCAGTGGCTTATGCTGCAGAGATAAAAGAGCAGAATTAAGACTATAGGATTAAGTGCTAAAATCGCAGCATGCACACTGCCATGGGATTTCCTCTGCAGGTCTACTTACTCCATCCTGTCGCCATGGCCACAACAACATAAACAACATTCAGGAGAGAGTGAAACAGTCAGACAGCAGAAGACATGCAATGGACAAATGTAAACCAAAATGGCTGAAAGGTGAATTACTAGGCCCAGACAGAATCCGTGGAGTTTTTTATACTGGTTTTTGGGGGAAAATTCTGCAGAATGGATTTAAACATGGCAGAGTATGTTGCTATGAGTTTTAAAGAGATTTAATTAGCCAAAATTGTTAATAAACAAAAAAATACGGATTTCAGATTCAATGTGGGCCTGAGAAGTAGTTCTCTGTATTACAATGCATTACAGTCATATAACTAACTTTTAAAAAAATAATAATGCATGCAAGTGCAATTCTCTATTTAAATTTGCATTGGTGCACAGTAAGTCTGTCAGTACAGAAATGCAGGGTACTTTTCACCAACACACAAAAATTGAGTTTATTTTATGGGTGTGTTCAGTTTGGAAGCCTGCCTTTGCACGCACTGTGATGCGTTAGACATTGATGGACAGGTGGTGATGACATGAATTTTATAAGAGGCATCATTTTCAAAACACACTAAACACACCAAATCACTCACCTCAAAGATTTCAAAACCGTAAATATCCAGGACTCCCATTACTTTCTTGCGTGTTTTGGTTTGAGCCTGATCAAAAAAAGAAGAAAGTTAAAGGCAGAAACCAACTCGCTTTAAACACAAATACGTGAAATAGTGCTAGCATCGGTACAAGCGTGCGTGTCTTGTGTAGTTTCAGAGTATAATTTGAGTGTTAGGGTGCCGTCACATTTACTGATGTTTGGCAAATTTTCACATGCAAAACCCAGACACATCAATAGAAATTCACAAAATCTGGTATTTTGTGTTAGAGTGAAAGATTTCATCATACATATTTCGCATTGGGTTCAAGTTTGGTCTTGCAAATTTGATGTGTTGACCAGCAGAAAGCTGCTTGGTTTGAACACTATTGCTACACTATTGACAATAGACTATTGCTCACATCATTTTGCACCAAATTTTGTTAATGTGACAGCACCTTTACAGCAAACAACAAAGATTCAATGAAAATCCAGAGAGACATACCTTGATGCTTTCATTGATTCGGTTCACCAGCCAGCTGAACAGTCGGCTGTAAAGGTTTTTGGCAAGAGCATCACGAGCATAATAGGCCTGAAATAGGTGTGGCAAATTACAATAAATGTCCAGAACATCTGAATTACACATTATCTACACAAGCATAAAGATACTGATTAATCTCTAGCTCCAATTCACTCAATGTCTCACGGCTGTAAAAACAAAATTACACCACTTGAAGAGAACACATCATGTGGCCCGGATCCAAATGCACTGAGGCCTGTCATCTATCAAGAGTTAGTGGCTAAATTCTTAACAACATGATGCTATGCCAAGAACACATCACAAGTTGCTAACTGGACCCCTCACTTGAATGTTATTATTGCAATAATCAAGGCTTCGGGTTCACACACATTCCAGCAGCCTTTAGTGAGGTTTTGCCTGTAATATCTTTCTACCTCTAATCATGATGTTGGCTTGGCAACATACTGTTATTGTACAAAGTAATGTTCAAAATGTAATTTTCCAAAATGTCTATCCCAAAACTTAAATTTCTACAATGTATGCCCTCCAAGAGCTCTCAATCTATATCTGCCAGACCTTCAGGCTGCTATCCGATGAACAGTTGTACTGTAGCTTACAATCAAATACCTATAGATTTAGATTGAATTCAGAAATTATTTCAAATAAAGAAATAATAATAATAATAATTATTATTATTATTATTATTATTAACACATGGCTTCATTCAAACGTAATGATTTTTTTCACACAAGGCTTCATAAAGCCATTCAATTTTTGACTTGACAAACTTTTCTTTCCTAGTTGTTTTTGTTGTATCTGGCCGGATGTTTGTGAACTCTGGAGACCTTGGTTTTCTGTAGTGTCTTTCCATCATCTCCACCGAACTTGCATGGAACTTCTCCATAGTGGCATATTTGTAGTTGTAACATTTGCGACAGCGATGGTTATAATGGACCAGGTCAATAAAATGACCTTTCATTCATAAGTGATCTCACTTCATGTTAGTTTAAAAAGAAAAAATAATAATAGAGAACTATGGATATTGAATGAATTGTCTATTCAGAAGATACAATATATCCTATTGTAGGCTTTTTGTTCAATATCTTTTGATCAATGAACCTCCAGTTATTCCAAATTACTGATTTTTTTAATCTATTTTTTTTTTTACTTTATTAATTCCCATTATTTTTCCAGGTCTGGAAAACTTACAAGTGCACAAAGCTCCAAAGCTTTATACTGTCCTTTCATGTAAAAAGATTTACTTGAGAACCAAACATTTAAATGGAGCTCGATGTGCGATCAAGGAGGGTGTGTGTCCTGACCTGAGCCACGTTGAGCGTGGTGGACACCTTCTCCATCTTGGCCTCCACGGTCCGGAAGCTGAATGCTCTCTCCAGCACAGACTGCTCAATGCCCAGCAGCTCACACATCTCTTTCAGGTCTGCGACAGGAAATGCAAAACAAACCCAGGCAGATCAGATTAAAGAATTATTTATGGATAGACTAGACAGCGTGTTATGTAATTTAAACAGATTTTCCAATTGCCAAAGATAAACATAATCCCTCCGATGACTCTTATGACTCTTAAAAAACCCTCTATAAATACATATTTAGTGTCTTTAAATTTAAAAACAACAATCATTCTGATCAAAGGCCTGTCTCCTAGAATCTAGAAGTCAAGGTTAAGACTGATACATGTTAAGCCCCTTTCAAGGAGTTCAAGGAGTTTAAGCTGAAGGGTATTTTAAAAGTGCTTCTCTCCAGGGGTTTTGAGAGGATCTGGACATCAGGTATACATCCCCCTCATCCTACACCAGCTTAATCAGTCTCATTTCAGCCCATATCTATCAGATCAAAAGGGCAGAGGAAAGCACATTATTGCTGATGGGTTTAAGCACAGCACACAAACCAGACGCTGTAGTATGTATAAATGGAGGTGTTGACATGGACTGTGATGTTTAGTCTGGGCCGACCACTGCCCTGGCTATAGGAAACTAATAGAACGACCAGTGACAAACAACGCTCACTTTTGCAGTGAATATATTTTTGTAGTTGACATAACATGTTGACTAATATTTTTATTTAACGTTACAATTTTAGGTAAAATTTTTTGGTTTCCCCAAGTAAATTATTTGGTCTTTTTTTCTAAAGTATTTAATGCATATTTAAAACTGCATAGATGTCACGGTTTTAGATTAATTTTGTTTATTTGGATAATTTTAAGAAACTGGTTCCAAGTCATTTTAGAGGCATATTTAATTGTACTGTACGTATAAGGGAAAGTGAATAGTTTAGACCTGTAAAAGTTTTAGCATTATTTTGAATGACCTTTTTGCTTTTATTTGTTCATCTTGTGGTAAACTGAATGGCTAATAATAATAATAAGATAATTTGAAAATAGTTTAAATAGTTTTAGATTAATTCTAGCACGTAACAGGACACTGTTGTCCTGCATAAAATATTATATCCTTGACCTGTTAGTCAAGGATGCATTTATCTGGCTTTATAAAAACATACACATTTTTTATCATTAGCAGGAAAGGGTCTGAATACTTAGGACCATTTGATATTTCAGTTTTTCTTTTTTAATAAATCTGCAAAAATGTCAACAATTCTGTGTTTTTCTGTCAATATGGGGTGCTGTGTGTACATTAATGAGGAAAAAAAATTAACTTAAATGATTTTAGCAAATGGCTGCAATATAACAAAGAGTGAAAAATTTAAGGGGGTCTGAATACTTTCTGTACCCACTGTATGGTACAGGATGCAAGGGTTATCTGGGTAAGTACCAGTGTGGTGTTGATTGACAGTGTACTAACTGCAACTGCAAGCTTATACTATAAATAACTCTTGACATATCAATAGATGGCAGTAGTGACCAACCTGGTGAGCAGATGAAGGCACTGTTACATACAAGACCACAGTACATGTTGTTTTACAATTATTATTATTTTGATTTTCCATGTTAGCAAATGTTTATATCATTATACCTAATACTGATTGTGATGTCCGATCATTCACACTTGAAAGTTTTTTTTGGAAAGTGTACTTTCTTTTACAAACCAGCTGTTTAAAAAGAAGTAATGTAAGTTTTTGGATAGGCAATGCTTTCTGAAAGAGCCTAGCACTCACCGTTCTTGTCCTTGACTCGACTCTCATCGTAGCCGTTGCAACGAGACTCTGGTTTAAACTCGATATTTCCCAGTTTGAGAACAGCAGCCACCAGCTCCAGTATTGACTGAACCTCATCCTCCATGAAGCCCACAATTTGCATGGCATTCTGGGAACACAGAAGAGAAAACATATTCAGTCAATAGTGGTCTGCTGATGGACATTTAACATGGCAGTACATATGGAGGCTTCTGTAAAGTGATTGACTGGCCCGTAACCACACCACTAATGGACAGCATGAGGGTGTTGAACAGAAGTTTCCATCATACCACAGTCTGTCAAAGAGAACAGATTAAGCATTGCAGCTGGTCCTAAGAATAATTTGCATTTGACACTTTTGAAAATCAAGGAAAGAAATAAGAAATAAAATATATTTTAATAAAAATTATTAGTGTGTGTGTGGACGTTTTATTTATTTATTTTTCTATAGTCTCTAAAGAAATCTCATTCTCAGTGGTGATTCTCAGTAATCACTGAGGATAATGACACAATTCAATCATACATATGGGAAATGTTCTTAACTCAAAACACATCTTTTATTTCTTTATTTTTATATCTTTATTTTGATCTCGGAGTAAAATATGACCCGAGATTCATCTAAAAAGGATAGTTGTTCCAAAAATGAAAATTTTAATTTACTCACCCCCATGTTGTTCCAACCCTATATGAATTTCTTTGTTCTGTTGAACACAAAAGATTATATTCTGAAGAATGTTGGTAACCAAACACTTGCTTGACTTCCATAGTACTTTTTCCATACTATTAGTCAATGGCTACCAGCAACTGCTTGGTTACCTGCATTCTTCAAAATATCTTCTTTCGTGTCCAATAGCTGAAATAAACTTGTACAAGTTTGGAACAAGTTGAGTGAGTAAATGATGACAGAATTTTCATTTTTTGGGCGAACTATCACTTTAATATTGTTAATTTATGAATGTACAGGGAAATAAGTAACGTGTGTTCTAAATTTTACAGTAGTTTTAGCCAATAGAATCATCAGCAGCTTATGATTTTTCATGTCGCCTGTTCTTCTACAATAGCTTGTGTTAATATTTGTTCTTGTGAAGCCATAAATTACATTTGAAATGTCATGGAATCGCTGATAATAAATGTGCAGACAGTTCATTGGCAAAGCAATGGTCTAAAGGCCAGAGATAACGGAGCGTGAGCTGTAAAGGGCTGAAATGTGATGCGGATCAAAATGAATGACAAACCAATAACTCCCTTTATCTCTCAATAAATGGTAACACAATTTTATCCTTCCAGAGTGGAAAAACTCTTCAATAGTTTTTTTTTTCCATGTTAACAAGACAAACATGTTGTGTCTCTAAGAATGAACGTTCTGCTGAGTTTTGTATATTATTTACAGTCTAGCATAAATAGCCACCATCCTCCCTCGTGGAAGTGTTTACTGTCCCCTACACACTGAGCCTTATTTATGCTTAACCTCATAAACTACAACCGTCTACACTGCGAAAAAAAGGCATGTTTCTAATTAATTAGATTTGACTCCCCAGGCAAGGGGTTGAAAGACAAAGCCAGAGGCCCAGCACATGCTGAGTTATTGTGTTCTGATGCCAGTATGGAGCTTGGCTTAGGTCTATTGTTCATCAGAACTGCACTGTATTGTCTGTGTCTGTTTAATGTGGGCTGCATTGTTTGCTTGGACACAGACACAGACATTCAGGTCTCCACAATAAGGATGGCCCAGTGGCCCGGGCTCACCAAAAAAGGTTCGGGCCAGTTGATGGAAAGTCACTTGTCTTAATGGGCCAGAGAATAAACAAAAGCAGCAACACTGTCAAAAATTTAATATTCAAGCACATTATGCATTGCTTCCTGTGTTATCTCAGTGTAAATACACTACTTTTCAAAGTTGCATTAAATTGATCAAAAGTGGCAGACAAGACTTAATTCAAATAAATGCAGCACAACTATTTTCAACATTGATAATAATAAGAAATGTTTTTGAGCTCAAATCAGCATATTAGAATGATTTCTGAAGGATCATGTGACACTGAATTCAGTGAATTCAATTGAATTCAAAATTCAGCTTTGATCACAGCAATAAATTATATTTTAAAGTATATTAAAATGTGCACTAAATGTTGCTTCTAAACAGCAGAGAGGATAATATACAGCGATGTATCAGGGTCCTGATCACCTTGTTTATTTTACAACAATGACCAACTAACTTTACCCTTAACTTTGTCCTTTGCATAATTTACAGCTATTATTGCAAATTATAAACCCTTATAATAGCTAACTTCTGCCATGTCATTTGTCATGAAATTGTCTAGTATTTTTTTTTATGTTAGTGAAACATTTTTTTTGTATACTGTAGGTCAGAAGCAAAATATATGTTTAAAAATATTTAAACAAATTATATATATATTATTTTTTTAAAGTGAACAAGTCAGGCAAGTGTCTAAAGGAAGCAAAACTACTGGCTCAACCAGGCCAGCAGAAAATAATCCTCATTGTTAAACCCTGCAACGAAAGTCCATCCTCTGCATGACCCATTTTCACAACAATAAGTGTGCATGAGAGAAACAGAAGCACCAATTTTATTTAAGTCAGCGGTGAGCAGGTGGAATTCCCCCTTAAATGAACTTCCCTGTCTTCAAGTAGAGGCTTGAACAAATCTCAAATTACGTAATGACACAAGGCAAAGTGTCTTGCTCAGAACAAACTCCACCTTTGCGGGGTAAAGGATTATCTTATCCAGTTAAGCCGGGGAGATAAGGTGCTTTGTTAGCTTCTCAACATACAGGGTGCCATAGATCTGAGCTAATTCCAAGACAGTCTGAACCAATGACTCACATACTATAATGTGTCAGGAACCAGCTACTGTATGTACAGTATGGTAGGCCTGAACGCAAACTTACTCTGACTGTTCTGAAACTGGCAGCATCGTCCAGTCCATTGACTGTTGCCGAATCCAGGCTAAGGTAGTTGTATTTACTGAAGTCTCGGTCCAGCTTCAGTTTTTCTGAAAGAAAAATACAATTACATTGTTAAAATCAATTCACTTGACAACCATCTTTGAGGCAATTTCTCTCATTCTCCCAAGAGTGGTCACTCTTTGTACATTCTCTTTATCCCAGGGGTGTCCCATCCTGTTCCCGGAGGGACAACACCCTGCAGAATTTCCAACACATTTGCCTAGAAGTTTCTAGTAAGCCTGAAGACCTTGATTAGCTGGTTCAGGTGTGTTTAATTAGGGTTGGAGCTAAACTCTGCAGGACGGTGGCTCTCCAGGAGCAGTATAGGACACCCCTGCTTTATACTGTCTTTGCCTAGATGTATCAGCCATTCCATATGACCCAGTTGCTATCAGATTATGTTACATCTATGTGGTATTCTGCTCAATTCACCCCTTTGATGCCTGAAATCAAAGCCTTTTATTGTGTTCTCTTTCATTTAAAATGTCAAACAATGACCATGGTCCAACAGAATGCAAATAAACCACGAATGAACCATAAATTCTGTTTCCAGAGTCTTTAACTCAGGTAAATTTGAGCGCAATCCAATAATCTTTTCCTCATTATGCTCTGAAAGCCACTGAATGGACTGTGCATCCCGAATGCACATGCAATCATTAAAAATATGTAGTTGGTCTCTTACTGAGCGTGTCATCTGATGCTCCAGAAAGCAGCTGGTAGAAGATGTGGAAATTCCTCTCACCCCTGGGCTGCTTTACCACACGGGATTTCTCCAAGAGATCTGCAAAAGGGAAATATCAAAGCACAAAGCATTTAATGAGCATACACAGCTGACTCAGCTTAAACAGAGAGCTGCAGAAGGGTTTTCTGAAGGGGAAAAAAAAATTCTCCACAAAGAGAAAGTTTTAGCGATAATGTTTAAACATAAAAGACAAGCCTAACATGAGGTACAAGGCTGTCGAGCAATGATAATTACTTCTGAAAAAGTCACAAGTCAATTGTCGCTTTTCCACTATGTGGTACAACTCGGCTCGCTTTGCCTTTCCACTGCAGTTTAGTACCACTTCCGAGTGGGTGGGATTATAGACTGTTTGTTATTGTTGCTCCGCCACCTCGTCTACTGACCAAAACACAGCCATGTCTTTTTTCAAGTTGTGTGCGATGGTCATTTAAAGGAAGTTTTTTTTTAAAGTAATGCGAACAAATGGTACTGCGGTGGCTGTTGCTGGCTATTTAAATCTAGCGTGTTTGGTGTCTCTTGTCACAAATCCAATGACGCAGGTAGGGACGATTCTTTCTGACCAATCAGTGATCTGTAGTGTTCACACGTCACATTTTAGTATCAGTACGGCTCGCTTGGAACCTCAATCGAGGTGGTACTAAAAAAAAAAAGTACCAGGTTCTAGCTACTGTAGTGTACAAAGTGGAAACCCCCCCCCAAAATGAGCTGTACCAAGCCGTACCATGCAGTGGAAAAGCGCCTAATGTGTTTTCAACTTCATACATAAATAAATGTTAATTTCAGCAATCCCAGTGAAGAATTACACACAGATGAAACTGGCTAAAGACAATTCTCTCCTACTATGTACTAAGCAGAACAGCCATTTCAGAGAAAAACAAAGGTGTTTTCCTGTTTATATTAGAATGAATATTTAGGTATCCATGGTGACGTTTTCATTGTTCACTGTATTCAGATTGAGACAGGAAGTCTCACAGGAGATATTCATCTATGGGGAGAGGAACCTGTCACACCACCCACGCTCCATCTAGATGTGTGCCCATTAGAAAACAGCAGCATCAGCCCAAAGCCTTGATTACCTTATCATCAACAACATTTATTAGCTTGATATGAGATAAGACATGGAGGATTGTTAGTATGAGCAACTACAAAAATTATGCAGGAGTATTATCTATGAACTACTGATAATTCTGATAATGCTTGACAAAGTACCAATCAAACCTTCTTTGACATTTCATACTCATTGACAGCTGCACTGGGACATGAATAAATAATTTTGTGGTGACATAAAATTTAGCATGCATCGTAATGATTGTGATGACCTTAATTTGCTATTTATTTGGCCAATAACCTTTTACTATTTTTTTTTACAACAATGTAAAAGTCGTACTGTCACTTTAGATCAATTTAATGCATCTTTTCTGAATAAATGTATTAATCCCTTTAGTAATAATAATAATAATAAAACCCTAAACTTTTGAATGGTAGTGCATGTATGGAGGTTAGTATTGTGGTTTATTACTGTGCATTATTATTTATTACTGGTATATTGGCTCATTGAAATGAAAATGATTCAGTGGTCAACCTTTTGAATTATTCAACCATATTAATATTCAACATATGTATCAAAAGTCTAAAGCTATAATACGAGATGCTAATTTACAATTTATCATCAAACAAGTTCTTTACTGCAGGAAACTAAATGTCCATGGTTCTTCAAGTATTTGGTTAATAGTAAAAGCAAGATGGCAATAAGCAGTTGTCACTTCCTGTTTTATCTGATGCCTGTCACAACAGTGGGGTAGTGGCTGTGGGCCACAAGCTCATCAATAGTTTATAGCCCCATTAAAGATCCCCTGTTGTGGAATCTACCTCAACAGTAACCAAACACTAAAGAGTATCCTTTGTCTCCCTTCTCCCCCATCCTCTCCTTTAACTTCCAGAGATAAATCATGCTGTCTGGTGTAAGAGTAGCGTCTGAGGCAGGATGAGTCTGAGGAATGCAGGAAAACTGAGGGGACTCCACGCTGACCTTCCACGTTTAGTACATTCGCAGACCTTTGTTATTGCTTTAACACAGTTCCAGTAATGGCCTGTAACTTCTGTCCTCCACTCAAAAATCAGAAGTCTTCCATCTTCCTTCTCTGCATTGCTTTGTATTGACTTGTTCAGTCAAGCCTGAGTTCTACTCCAAAACCTAGCAACCTTGCTGTGAACTGCCTGCTTGCATATCTTGCATATAAACGTAGCACAGAATAATTGATCAGAATGTGCCATTATAGGCGGATTTTCTCCCATACATTGTTACAAATATAAACACTCAGTATGTTTGTTATTAAAATATTGAATGAATGATATTAAAATAAGTATTCTCCAACTGGTCCACTGTTTGGTCCGTTGTTTTTAAACCAACATCGCTGTGTGGCAAAACTGCTTATAATGCATACTGTATTCAATTTGCAAATTTCTATGGCCTTTGGGTTATCAAAACTTTGCTAAAAACCTGTTGCACACAATCTGCTACATGCCTTTTGTCATTATTATTGATACTTTTTTTTATCAAGTAAAAGGTCTCTTAGTAGAATTGTAAAAAAAAAAAAACCGTCAGGTCGTGGTTCACGTGTCTTTTTGCTGTTTACCCATTACTGATTTTTATAAAGTAAACTTAAAAACAACTTTTATATCATTAGTAATATAAACATTTACATTTAATATAAACACAACATTTGCTGGACATTTTTGCAAGTAGTGATTTACATTACAAGCTATCAGACTTTCATACTTTTTGACTATATAAAAGTCAAAAACTGCACCAAATTGCATATTTTTGCTCAGTTCGGGCCTCTGGATAAACGGAGGTGTTTTTTCTTCAAGTATGCACTCCATATTCTCACTATATCATACCAAATGAGCCATAAAGGTGTTAGACTTATTTCATATGTCAGGCTTTACAGGGTTAACTTGATATGGTGTCTTAAAAACAGTAAGATACTTTGTAACAGCTAAACACATCTGTCTAGCACATGACAACATTTATCCTGCTTCATCTGCCATCCCGAATGTCTTTTTTCAACTCCGCTTGTGTAGTGCATTGTGGGATTGCCTTTTTCTGCACAGGGTACATGTAATGTTAGAATTAGGCTAAACTGAAATCTCTCAGCATAAAGTTTCTACCTATCATCAGCAATAACCTTCATGTTGGGAGCATGCCTATGATGCCTTAAAATACTGCCTGTTTAGGCTGCTCGGGAGGTTTAGGAACAGAGTTCTGGTGTATGAAGTCTGTTTGTTCAAATCATCTAAAAACAGCTTCTAGTGGGTAAAATTATGCTGTTTTAGATGACTCTAAGATTGTTTCTTTGGAGGAAAGCCCTCAGGCTTCAGAGCTGTCTGTAGCATCTTGTTATAGCCTGTCTGTGGTCATGCAACTTGGCTGTTTTGAAGCACTCACAATAGATTCTATTGTGCAGACTACATGAAGCTGTAACAGCAGAGGCCAACTGCACCAGCTGTGCGTAAGTTACAACTTAGCCCAGTTTTGACATAAAGGAGCAGAAAGTTACAACTTACTCACTACTAAATATTTTGGTGTTGCACCATTAAACTGGAAACGTAACTCTACTTATTGACAAAATATTTATAGAAGTTTCGACCAGGAGTATTGGTTGGAATAAAATAGCATATTGGCTCAATTGCATCAATAAGCACTCCTGTTTTACCTGACGTAATTCAGTCCTTAAGACATATTTCATATGCTCAGGATATTATGTGAATAAATTATTTTGTTAGCATCATTTCAACACTAATTCGACTTACACAATGCACCTTTCTGTGCATCGGTCAGCCCTGTACATGTCAAATATAATAAATCATAACAAATACATGTCCTTTCTTTTTTTTCTTTTTGGTGCAAAACAGTGCAACTGAATAACATACAGAGTTACAAACTACTTTACGTTCCAATAATGTTACAAATAACGAACGGTCGGTGCAACTCTACCCAGGACTTCAGTAAAAACTGTGGGGGAATTGTTTTAATTGTGGGATTGTTTAAAGCTCTTCCAATCAAGCATTGAAAAAGAGAGTAACATTTTGCTCCCACTTCCTGTGTCTTTCCCTGTATATGTTGGTGGAGTCAAAATAAGAGATAACTGGAAACAGGTTACGGTCTTGCTGTCCTTAAGGAAACTCAATGTGTTCATATACCCGAACAGAGGCGTTTATAGATCTGGGCTAACTGTTGAGTGAAGTAATTCAGTGCTGCTCCAAATATCAGCACAAAAGAAATGACATTAGATTGTCAGTTAGGTCTAGTGACTCCCCTGTATGTGATGGAGTGACGTAGATAAATCACATCAGCATCATTAATAGTGGGAGATTGATCGATTCTCTCATGTGGATGGTGGCACACTATCTGATCGACTCAAACTGATGTACTATATAGGTTACAAACTCTCCTCAAATCAGTGAGCAAATGGACAAACTGTGCCAACTCTTACAGGATGTTGCATCGGCAATACAAACTTAGGCTGATTAATTATCTCTCAATGCCAAGTGGTAGCCCTTTCGTTTCCATTTAAAGACTTTAAGGTCACTTGTCATAGTGGCACAATCCCATTTTTGACCAGATAAATTTAGCTACGGTTTAGAAATCGACTGTTATGTATCAGAGAATGTGCATGTTTTAGGTCACAACTCATTGTTTCGACTAGCCATTGATTCAACACTATATATTAACCAAATGCCTGAGGAAACATGTAGCTAAATGGACCACTGGCTTCAACAGTCAAGAGTATTTGTGCCAAGCCAACTAGACTGCTGGACTGGCTTTGAATTTGCAAAGAGAACGGCTCAAGGGCATATTACAGGAACCATTGCTATAGTTTTACGAAATAAGGACACGCTCCGGATGGTTTATGTGTGTATAAATGCAGCACAGTTTCCAAAAGCCCTCTCTGAGAGCACACAGCTGGGAGCAAGAGTAAAGACAGCCAGCTGTACAAAATTATAAACAAAACAAAAAAAAAAATGGTACAAAGTCAAAAGAAATAGTTGCCCAAAATGAAGCTTCTATCATCATTTATTCTCCATTGCATGTTGTCTTTGCACTCATATGACTTTTCTTCCAGAAAACACAAAAGGGGAAATTCTAAAGAATGGTAATGCAGTTCTTTTCCATAAATTGACCGTTCATGGTAATCACAGCAGCTATAAAAGAAGTATTAAAGTTATGCGCTATCTTCCTAATGTTCTGAATCCATATACTCTAACATTCTAAAGTTTAGGGACAGGTTTTTTTTTTTTTGAAAGAAGTCTCTTGCATTTATTCGATCAAAAATACAGTAAAACAGCATTATTGTGAAATAATATTACAAATTGAAATAACCGTTTTCCTTTTTAATATATTTATAATGTAATTTATTTGCAAAGCTGAATTTTCAGCATCATTACTCCAGTCTTCAGTGTCACATGATCCTTCAGAAATCAATCTAATATGCTGATTTGCTGCTCAAGAAACATTTATTATTATTAGCAATTTTGAAAACAATTTCATATTTTGGGGGAAACGGTGACACCTTTTTTTTAGGATTATGTCATAGTAGATAGAAAACAAAAAAAACATTATTTATCTGAAATAGATTTTTTTTTTTAACAATTCATTAATTATTGTCTCTCTTGATCAATTTACTGTGTCCTTGAAGAATAATAGTATAAAAAAAACACACAATCTTACTGACCTAAACCAATTTGAACGGTAGTGTATAACACACAAGTCATTTGGACTACTTTTATAATGAACGTTTTGTACATTTGGGTGCTTGACAGTCATACACATCATGGAATGTTGTTGTATGGAAAACAGCTGCATGAACATTTCTCAGACTTTCGCCTTTTGCATTTCAGAATTTCAAAATTAATCAGCATATGGGCTTAAAACGACATGAGGGTGAGTAAATAATGACAGATTTGGGGTGAACTATTCCTTTATTTCTATTTGGGCACTATTACAGGGATACTCCTTGGTTTCCACCTTGTAATTATACTCACAATTACTGATGACTCCACCAAGGGGGTCTCCTTTGAAGTCAAACTCGATATCCATGTACTTCCCCTGTAGAAAGAGAAGAAATTGTTTGCACATCCCATAAAAAGTGCATGGTGGGTGAGTTGATGACATCGTTCTTTATTGCTGTTTAACATGGCCTTCCTGTGCAGTCAAAATAAGATATGACTAAGAAGCTAAGGTCTAAGAAGCGAGTCCCTCTCCAATGGTGACTTTGCATCAAGGCCTTTGGTACTAATAGCAGGCTTGCTGCGGAGAACCACGTGGCTCTTTAGTGGTTCTTGATGGTAGGAAAAGACACATGACATTGAGGGCAGTGATCACTGCAAATAGGGCTGAAATTTGAGCCTTCCATGAGGCAAATGGGAAAAAAAAAAACAGAAAAAAAAAACAGACTTTCCCTCTAAGCGCAGTCAATTCTCCAAGTACAGGCCTGTTCATAACACAGGCTGCCAATCATAAATAGATTTGCAATGGAGTAATGGACTACTGTGGGAGAAGAGGGTTTTTTTTTCTGCCATAATGGTAAAATAAACTTTTTTTGTCTTTCTGTCCCTGCACACTATTTGGGATAAAAACAGTAAGCCCAGTGTCTCTGGAGCCAGTTAAATTTTTCCCTCTTTATTTATATCCAACAGCTCTTCAAAAGGAAACTGCCTCAGAGGCTGCTGAATAAACTCCCAGAACTCCAAAATCCTATGCCAACACAGGAAGCAACAGCTGAAAATGTCTTTGAGAAAAGTTATAACAGTACAGCAGTTGGAAATATATAGGATAAAATGGTGCTTGAGATACAAAACATTATTATGAAATTCAAAATCTCAAGGTGTTAGCATGCTGTCACCTCAGAGATGGTTCAGTTTCAAACCCAGTCGAGCTGGCTTGCTGCCTTCTGTCCATGAGCCCTAACCAAAGTGCTGACTATTGTAGAATTACTGTTTACACCACACAAATGGACACTATTCACAATTGATTTCAATAGAGCTTGGTATTAGCATATAGCTAGGCTAATAATGTGATACTTTAATTAGCATAAATAAATGGCACCCTTGTGAAAAATTAATACACTTAGTTGAACTGAATGTGTACTTGTAGTTTACTTCAAATCTTAAAAGTACATTAAAAAAACAATACATGCAGTTAATATAAAATCATTTAATTGTAAAATAAAAAATTATTTAATTGTACTTAATGAGAGAACACTTTCATTTTATTAATACACTTAAGTACTGTATAGGTCTACACTTTGTAATTAATTGTCAAATTAACATTTTTACTTTACATTTGAAGTAAATTATTATGTTTTAATAATCTTTTCTTGTGCTTTAAAGTACACTTATTTGATATGTTGACTAACATATAATTTATTGTGTAAGTACATATATATTTAAATACATGACATACAAGTTTTCATAGAAATGGCATTACAGTCATTGCGGTACACTTTATCAGTATTTCAAAGACAACATAAGTAATTATGAAATTACATATAAAGATGTAAGAAGTCCTACGTAAGAGGGTCAAACAAGCACTCTTAGAACTTATTGCATTTAATATAAATGTAAACTATATTACATTTTAATTTAAATGCAATTAACAAGCTATTAAGTGTCCGAAAACTTTAAAATAATATATTAACGTAAAGTATATTATTTCCATAATAAGTGCTATTTTTTTTTATTAAATTTTTTTTTTTTAAGTATGCTTATTTTTTCCAAAGGGCCCCCCCTTTTTTTTTTTTTTTTTTTTTTTTTTTTACATGTACTTCATGGCATTTTTAATTCTTTATAACCAACATTTCTCTCACCTGAGCAACCATCTAAGATCTATAGTTTGCCGTTATGCATTATGGGATTGCCTTTGACAGGATGCAATGCTGCCTTAAAATCCAAAATAAGAAAACTTTGTTTTGAGATGGTCTAAGATGCTTCAAAATGCTACCTATATAGGCTAGGTTTTGAAACAAAGCCACAGAAATAAACGGTTCCTGGCTAAAGATTGTTATGCAACACTGATGGTCTCATGTGGGTGATGCAAGAGCCAGTAAGAGTGCTCAACAAACTAATTTTTGACCCACGAGTTACTAAAATTTAGATCTGGTAAGTTTCCTGAGGATAAACGTCAACAACAACAACACTGACTCAACGCTGTTCTGTATTCCCTGTTATGTAAACTGAACAGCACCTCTGTTGAACCTCTGAAAACACACGCTGGACAATGCTGTGTGGTCTCTAACAACTGTAAGTACACACGCTATAGCTCAGTATATGTTTACTTTGTGTGGTCAGGCCATGACGGACAAATGGAAAAGGGCCAAACTGTCAAAGAGCAGCGGCAACAAACACATTTACATAAAGAGAGATATTTAACTGTGCTAATATCTGGGCTGAATGGCATTGTGGGAGTCAGTCCTCAAGGACGACAGGGAAAAAGAAGAGACTCAAAGGCATCTGGAGGTGGTTGCTAGAGAAGTTACACAGAGTTCTGTTTGAACCCTGCTGTATGCACGAACAGCAATCATTCTAGTGTTGCTGTGTCAAGTCCAAAGTATACTTTACAAAAATCGGATGGTGCACGTACTATTTTAGTGACGAAATTTGCATGTCATGCACACTGTACGCAGACACGTATGCGTAAAAACCGAAGTATACTTTGGCCTTCAGAATGTGCTCCGTGCCGGTCCATAAAAAGCAAAGCGGGAATGTTGCAGTATCATTTTGCAAAATCAAACTCCCAAGAAAAGCATTGCATCACTTTAGGGGCGGACTGAGAGTAAGCAATAGAATAATTTGCCTGTGTTCACATTACGGATCAAAAGTCCATGTTGATCTATTCTAAAGCAAACACACTCTAGAGAGTAAGAGCAGCATCAAAACAGTTGTAAAATACTTTGTCTGGAAAAAGAAAGAGATACTCACAAATCGAGACGAGTTGTCATTCCTCACGGTTTTGGCGTTCCCAAAAGCTGCATTGGAATAACATGTTGTGAGTTAGTCATGCCAGATTCATTTAGCACTACATTTCTACTTTGACTGATGTCATCTGGCAGAAAAATGATCCTGAATCCTCTCAGCTACCTTTCATCATATTCATGAAGCATAAAATACTTAGACTGCCTAAAATTATAAATAAAAACAACAACAAGTCCACACAATAATGTATGTCTATTTTAAACATTGATGAGTATTTTAGTTAACTCTGATGGACACTGAATGGAATTTACATTTATAACCAACTTTGCTTTCAAGGTTTACATTTTATCAGTTCATGCATTCCCTGAGAGCTGAACCCATGACCCTGGCATTGCTTGTGCTATATGCTTTACTGTTTGAGCTACAAGATGACACCACAATAAATTAATATTTCAATGTTCTCTCAGATCAAACGAACAATGGCTACATTCAGAATATAGTACTCCAGTACAAAGTATGTATAGTAAGCAAATGTTCAGTATGCATGGAATATCCAGATAACCTACTACATTTGCAGTATACAAAACAGCACAATGAGCATAATGTATCCCACAATGCAACCTTCCATTTCCTATGTGACAAATGAACCACAATTCTCAAATTAAACTTCATTATTGCAGAACAATCTCTATTTCCACTCATTATATGAATATATTGAATATGATTTTACTGATTTTTTTTTTCATTACCCAAAGAACCTTTCAGTAAACAGTTCTTAAAATAACTATTTTTTTCCTTAGTGTGAGGATTAAAATCAATATTTTAAAACTTAAAAAAAATATATATTTTCCACTATAAAAAACTAAGAACCACAAGGAAATTAGTGAAAGGCTCTTCACAGAACCAACAATGCCAATAAAGAACCTTTATTTAAGTGTAACATGTCCCTCATTATTGCACATTAAATACAAATAATTTTAAAACTTAAAAAAAATATATATTTTCCACTATAAAAAACTAAGAACCACAAGGAAATTAGTGAAAGGCTCTTCACAGAACCAACAATGCCAATAAAGAACCTTTATTTAAGTGTAACATGTCCCTCATTATTGCAACATTAAATACAAATAATTTTCACATTTTCCGTCTGAACACATATATGAGCTACATGTACACAGAGAGTCTATGGTAGAGAAGCATGCAGCAGGAAATGTGCAGGACCCCCGGTGTGGGGCTCATTACTTCCAGCAGCTAAACTCTCACAGATGTGGGACTTCACTCTGCTCTGAGTCCTGCTTCCAAGAAGCACTGGGCATTCCTACTTCATCCCCATCTCATCACTTATGGGCATTTCCTGCTTCATGGCCCCACATAAAAAACACAGCTGTCTGATTGCCAACAGGGACCAAGAAGCTTTTGGCCCTTTAGTTGAAAGTGGGGCAAGATAATGGGAAAATACATATGATGTATCTCAAATCATCTGCTTCCAAACTTGCCTTCAAGAATCTGAAAAGATCTACCACAAAGTTTCCTATTAACAGACCTGCTGGTACATTCAAGAACATATGATGTATGTTTTAAGGCAACCCAAGGGATCTGAGTGTCTTAAAGGTGTGAAATGACACATAGACAAGGCAATTTGTACAAAAACAGAAAATGTGGAAGACTCACCCTCAAGCACGGGATTGGACTGAAGCAGCTGCTCCTTCACTTTGCTCACCTCCTGGCCCTTCCCACACACTGCCGCCACATACGACATCACAAACTTACTGGCCTCTGAAAATCAGACCGCAGAAGAATGAGGTCAGGGATCATCTTCTAGATGAGACCTCACCCCAAAAATTCCCTTTACATCAACTCTGTCCATCCTACAGGGAGCAAACGCCTTTCCCACCTCACATCAGAATCCAAACTCTCCCATTCTTTCAAAGCCAACAATGAGATCAGCTGTTTAAAGAGTCTTCAACATCCCATTGAGCTGATAATTAATCATGAAGGGATGACAGAACAACTCAAATAGAGGGGAAAGCCTGTGGATCAGTGTCCAATTTGGCAAATATAACTTAATATAAAATAAATAATTTGTATAGTATAATAATATATACACTATTATACTATTACACTAAAATATATAT